GAGTCCCCATGATAATAATCTTCCTCAGTTTATGGTAGAGTTACATCCCGATAAACCTATCATAAGCTGAAAATATCATAAGTTGAAATTTCACTTAATATGCTTAATCTACGGAACATCATTGCTTATTTAACCTGCCCTACATTAAATGTGCTTAGAACACTTTAGCTGACAGTGGGCCAACTTTATAATAATAAGATGTTGGTTATATCATGTAACATATTGGATACTGTACCAAAAACAGTCTGTTGGGTATTGGTTGCTTAACTCACATGGCCAGCTGGAGCTGCATCTCCTGCCACTTCTCAGTCTCTTGGGAGAGAGAGGGTGAACAAAGAGGGGGGTGCCAAAGCAGCATGCGTCCAGGGGAACCACAGGATACCTTCCCATGATTTTTCTAGACTTAGTCTAGGCTCAAGGTTGCTCCCTCATCAAGCTGTCATTTTACCTCTGACACAGCGTTGTCCCAAGAGCATTATTTCTCAGGTTCTGTGACCAACCCACAGTGCTGAGTCCGAAACCCAGAAGGATCCTGAGTGACTTACTAGGCTTTGCACTCACTGCATCCCACCTTCTTAAAGAGTCCACGTAGACACACCATTTCTTCCAGACTTCTGTGGAATAAGATGTGGGAACTGGAAGTATTTGCCTTCCCAAAGCTTCAATGAATGCTAAAACCATGGTCACCAGCTGGAGTGACAATCTGCAACATTGCAAATCATTCATACCTCTCTGCTGCTAGCTGGGGACTTCCGGGATGGCGGACAGTTTTTATAGGTTGTGGGTTTGCGCCAAATGGCAGGCTGATTCCTAATAAGAAAACTCGGCAGTCTGTTCCCCACACCTACTGCTCAAGTGTTTACGGTCTGAAATTTTATTTTCAATGTACGCGTTCCCCTTAACAGAAAAGAAAATGGTCTTGAGCCAAACCACTGAAGTGAGAAATACAAATCGCACTCGCTATTAATCCCAATGAGGTATTAACTACAAAGTCCATTTAAGACTCTTTAGTGTTAATATTAAAGAAGACAAGTGGTAACATAAACAGGTAATGGCCTGGAGCCAGCCGTCTTGGGCCCTGGAACCGAGGCTGGGCCCTCCATTCGCACGACACACTGGACCTGTGCAGTGGCTCTCAGCTTCTCATGGGCGCCGAGGGACGGGAGTTTGGCAAGGCCACTGTTTTGAAAGGACTGTAATGACGGCAGAACGTTTTACTGCCGTGTTAATGAGCACAGAGTGGGGCTGTGGGCAGGGCAGCTTGCGTGCCTTTGTGGAGCCTGAGGGTAGTGAGCACGCAGGGGAGGGCGGGTAGGGGAAGCAGAAAGAAATCCAACTTTTATTTGTCATCGTAACTAGTTACTTGAGGGTGTTAACAGATCCCTGGGTAATCTTTGGAGAAAGTTTTCCTTCATTAGAGTTTTAAAACTCATTAGGGAAATTACCCAGCTGTATCGTGAGGAGAAGCAGTCTCCGAAATGCAGGAATTGGATCTTTTTTTCTCCTCCCTCCCTCTATCCCTACCTGTTCTCTTCCTTTCCTAGCATTTGACTACTGCAGCATTCAGATGTGCAGAGTGCTTGGGACTTTTTCATTGTCTTACACCACAGTCTGCTGTTGTCAAATTCCGCCATCTTGTCGTTGTCAAATTCCGCCATCTTGTCGTTGTCAAATTCCGCCATCTTGTAGTTGTCAAATTCCGCCATTTTGTAGTTGTCAAATTCCGCCATTTTGTAGCTCTGTACACACTTCCTGTTGCAGAAATCTGATCTCTTTTTAGCAGCTCCCTTGGAGAAGTCATGCAGATACTTGTTTTTGTTGACTTTTCTAGCACGATTCTGTCACATCATGAATACTGGTCTATAGAGCCTGGTGCTGGCTGCCCCCCTCACCCCCAAGGGCATGTTCTGTCTCAAAGCAGTAATACCCACATTCAGATGAGAACCACATTTAAATCTTCAGCCTTGATGCTGACCGAACATTACCTGTATATGAGTTGGTCGCTAAACTTGACTGCTCCACTTGGGGACTCATCAGAGTTTTAAATGTGGTAGATTCACAGTAGAAACCTCATTCACTGGCCTGCAGCTACCACCATCACCACCACCACCCACACTCTGTGTGAGGTACCTTCCTTTCTCTCACATCCCATGACAAAATACAACTTCTTATTGGTTCTCCACCCCAGACGTGATCTTTGAGAAAGAGTACATCTTGTGTTGTTCCCCTGCTTAAGCTCCTTCAATGGATTTCCATTGCACTTGGCATGAAATCCAGATCTTTACACAGGTTCGCAGGACCCCAGGTGACTGACCCCTCCTGCCTCTCTGTTCTTTTCAAGGTGCTAGCCATTCGCATATTGAGACTTCAGGGCTCAACCTAAATGCTGCTCCTGTTGGGGGTTCAGGGAACATCTGCAGGTTGAATGAGTGAGCTCAATCTCCTGCCATCCCCAGCCTCCCTGCCCCAGTTTGTTCACACAGAGTACAAGATCTGCCGTTGTGGTGGCCTGCACTTCAGCCTCATACTCAGAATCACGGGCTTGGTTTACACGCAATTAGGATCCAAATCATGTTTATTCATGAAAACGAGAAAGGCCTCTAATTTTACATTTGTTGCAGTTGGCTGGAGGATGAGAAGGGCTACAAAACCAATTGACCACCAGCTCCTCCTTCTTTGTGAGTCCCAAGCACCCATCAGCTTCAGTGCTGGGACTGAGGCCTCGCCCTGCTTTCACAGCTCTCAAACAATCACAAGACCTCCAAGAACTTGACAAAAGAGAATTCTCTCTTATTTCACCTTCTTCTGGCTGCCCATTGGTGAGGGCCCCTTGAGGTCTGCAGGGTTCTGGAGGTCTGCAGTTTGAGGAAAGTTAAGTTAGAATTATTTCTCATTGTGAGGAACTCGGACCATTTCTCTCTAGTGAAGATACAGAGAACCTGCTGGGATTACACTCCACTGGACGGAACTGCCAGGCAGTCTCCTCACCGCTTGCGTGGTCTATTACCCTCTTTTGGGGGTGTCGGTGATGTGACTGGGAGTTGCGAGTCATGTGGGATTAACTCTGGCACAGCTTACTGAGGGGATTTAGGGCCAAACTGCTCCCAGTCTTACTGAGCAAGTAAAACTAATCTAGAAAACTTTCTTCAGAGACTTGCGGTAAGCTGGGAACCAACATTGTCTAAACATCACACAATCACTTGTACTTTCAAGAACAGTTGAGGAAAAGGTAAGAGGCAAGACTCACGCGTGTGCCTCCAACTCATGGGGGTTGCTATCTTAGTCACAGTGTTACCTGTGCAGCTTAGATTGTTTTTCCACCCAACTGGTGGTTCTCATTGGAAGCACATGTCATGTTTGGATAATTTAGGGAATCTCTTTCAAAAGCAAGCCTGCAGCTGCTCAGCCCAGACTCCCAACTCGGAATCACCTGTGTGGAGTCTGGGATTGTGGGAAAAGCTCCGTAAAAATTGTGTGGTTCCAGAACTAGCCAAAGGGCTGCACGTTTGGAGTGGCAGAACCCAAGGTTCAGCCGTAGCATTTGATCCAGAGCTTGGAGTGTGGGCGTCAGCGGGGTGAACGTTCATTGAGGAAATGGAAGCAAATAATCAAACTATACTGCACCTATTTTTAACTACTCATTCCTGCGATTTCCTACCAGCCTAGTAACTTTACTAGTCAAATAGAATTTTTAAAACGAACTTTACAGGGAGACCTGTAGAATTAGAGTGCGTTAGGTGGTGTAACTGCTTAGCAAGGGAGCAGATGTTACAGATTTAAAGCGTAATTAAATGTGAAACTAGAGAGGAACAAAGCATGGTTTGAAAAGCACTTTTGTAACTGCTGATGCTTGGCTTTACCAACATCACTTTGTATGTAATGCCTTTCAGGGTCTGGACGCTTGTGGTATACTAGGCCACAAGGCTTCGTTTCTTCTTAAGGCTGATCACAAACCGAACCGTTACACTAGCCGTGAAGTTGCTTCAGTGACAGTATATACTATATCAGTGACATCAAAATCAGTGATATCGTGCAGTCATGATTGTACCTGTTTTCATAGGTGGTTGAAGCCATGTAACTTCAGCTGATACAATACTGGCGCAGCGCAGAATGGGTCGTGTACTGTCCACCTGTGAGGGTGCAGGGAGCTGGTAACAGGTGCAGCCTTGGGGGGAGAGCAGGCTGTGTGTGACAACCCAGATTACCAAGGAGCAGGAGTTGGCAGACACTGGCAAGTGGCTCCCTGGGACAAGGTGGATTCAAAAGCAGAGTGAGTGCTGAGGCGCGAGTGGAGGAATTCATGGAACTGAGATACCAGTGGAGGGAACGTGCCGTACTGAGGCTCTGTCTTGCCCCCCGCCACCAGCCTCAGCAGCTGTCCCTGAGGCCTTGCTCTCCTCCCAGGTCGCATTACCCCATGTGATAGCACGCTGATGCAACAAGCACTCGTGAGCGCGTGCATGGGGCATGCACGTCTGTGGGGGTAGGCACTGGGGCTGAGCAGCCAGAGCGCGCTGGGTGTAAATGCAGGCACCGGGCCAAGCGCCAGGGGATAGAGGGGGCACTCGAGGGGGCGAGGGGGCTGCCTGCCTCACTGCCCGCTGGCCTGCCTGTGAGTCCAGGTTCCTGACTCAGCGTCAAAGGCATGTTAGAGATAACGAAGGCTCCAAATTCTCTTTTCACCTGCCCAAGTCAACAGTGAACCTGCAGGCATGGCGGGTTGCAAACACCAAGTGACCACTGGTCACTTGGCCACTGGGCAAGGACAGCAATGGAGTAGAAGGACCGAAGGGGACGACTGGCTGCCTCTTCCTGGCCACAGGTGTTCCTCACGGTGCGCAGGGGTCTGGCCCACCGGGAGGACCAGGTCCGAATGGCCTCTAGCTGTGCGCTTGTCTTCCGAGCTTACGGCCTTGTGCTTTGTTTGCCAGACTCAGCTCTGTGGAAAGAATGTCGGTAAAGCTTGACTGGACACTTGCTCTTGTCTCCCTTTCCTTTAGGTTTTGTGAATGACTCTGTCACCAAGTCCATCGTGGCTTTGCGCCTGACGCTGGTGGTGAAGGCCAGCAACTGTGTTCCGGGGGAGAGCCGCGCAGGAGATTCGGAGTGTTCTGGAAAAGGGAAATGCACCACGAAGCCATCAGAGGTGAGGGACACCTGGTCTCCCGAAACACATGCACTGTGTGTGTGTGTACTCAGACACACGTGAAGCGGGAGGAAAGGGCTGAAACCGCTCCCTGGGCTCCGAGCTTTGCTTCTGTCAGCACACAGCAGGTAGCTATGTACATCTCCACACAGTTTTTAAGTCATTATCATACACCAGGTGCTAGATCTGACTTTGGTATTTTGTGAAGAGAAGTGGTTTTTGTGGCTGGGAGCTGAATTGGGAGAAATGAAAGGATAAGTAGGAAAGGGTGAGCCCAGAGTCTTTTCTCGCTGGTTGTGGCACATCTCCAGGCTTCGCGTTTCTCTGCTCTGGTGACAGTGCTCTGAAGTGGGACCTAAGTGGGACCTAAGAGAAGTGACGGGAAGAGCGGCGGGGGAGGAGAAGGCTGACTTGTTATTTTTGCGAGGTCACCAGTGTCATCAGGCCATGGGAAAGCCAGGCCCTGCCCCCACATCCCCCCTCAGACCCCAAGGCACAGAGCAGGGCGGAGTGAGGTGCCTCCTCCTTGTTCATTGGTGACTGACAGGGAGCAGGGCTCAGACCCTGACACTGAGGCCCATCTCCGCCTGGGCCTGAAAGCAGTGTCACGGGTGGATTCCAGGGCACTGAGTGGACCACGACCGAGACTTCTTCCTGGCCTGGTGCTGCTGTCAGGGGCCTCCTTCCTGCCACCCCTGCCATGTCCGGCTCTGCCACACTGGCCTTCCCTCCCTCTCCCCAGTTCTAGGCATCCATCCACCAGAGCTCATATTCTGAACCCCGAATCCCAAAGAGCATATCTGAGCTGGATGACAGGGTCGCCCAGGTGGAAACCCTCCCTTCTCCCTCCCCTGTGGGTGTGTCAGCGGGGCAGGGATCCTGGCCCGAATTGGGGCCGGTACAGGGAGTGGGGCCAGCGGACAAGAGGGACGTTGAGGAGCCTGCGGTTCCTGCTGCTGTCGTCCTGGAAAACCCTCGGCTTTGATGTCCTCAGTGCTGCAAGGACCCCTGTGGGCAGAATTCTGAAGGGCAGAATGCGTCAGGAACTGCAAAAGGGAGCAAACAACCAACCAAACAAAAACAGTTCTGTAAAATCGTTGCAAAGGAACACAAATGCAAACCACCTCCAAACGCAGCCCCCTGGGGTGGGGTGGGGAGTGGCCAGTGGAGAGGGAGTGAGGCCAGGGCGCCTTTGCCCAGCCAGGTAAGGCACAAGCTGAGTCTTCTGTCCCAGCCAACTTGGACGTCGCTCTCTTTTTGGAGGGGACGCTGCATCTGTCAACTCATTTTGTGGAAAACAAAAGAGAAGTGAAGGTTGCTGACTGCTTTCCTAGGACAATCAGAGCTCAGGAGAGAAAGGACACGAGGAAGCTGTGTGTGTGTGTGTGTGTGTGGGGGGGGTTTGCTGAAGTGAGCGTTTCCTGAAAGGAGGAGGCTGAGGGAGGAGGCTGAGGGAGGAGGCTGAGGGAGGGTGACTTAGAGTGAGGCTGCAGGGGGAGTGGGGGGGACGGGTGGGCACTTGGGTCTTCCCCTGCTCGCTCCTGCTCTCCCCAGTGAATAACTGTGAGGCCAGACCAACCCCTCCTCCCTACCCACCCCTTCCTCCCCCCTTTCTTCACCCCCCTCCCGCCCCCCCAAGTACTGGCCATGTGGACAAGTCGGCCTGGGGGCTGGAGGGCTGGCCTCAGGGTCTGACTGACCAGAGAGAGGAGGGGCTTCCTTGGAGCTTCCTTTGCAGTGGATGGTGCTCCTGAGGGAACCCCTCGCCCTCAAAGCGTCATGGTAGCTCAGCATGAGCATGTTGCTGGTCACCAACCTCCCAAGGGCCTCCTGGGAGGCACCTGCGTGGCGGCTCTGTCTGTCGGTTTAGGATTGATCATTGGTCATCGGAAAGGCAGTAGGTAGAAGATGTTGCACCTGGCAGGGAGCTTGGCAAACCTTGCCAAGCACTCTTGTGCTTTTTTTTCTGTGGGAAAGGAACAAGACTCCTCCAAAGGCTGCGTGAAGAACTGATGCTGACTTCAGCGGTGGCTCAGGGAAGCTCCCTTTGCTCTGGGAAGCGGCTCTAAGACAGGCCTCAGGGCCCACCCTGACACACACACCTCCCTTCCCACCTACACAGGCTGCTCTGAGCCGGCCCACTGCAGAGTCCACCACAGCACAGGACAGGAAGGCCGGTCTTTGGTAGTTTATTTTTATTTTTTAAAGATTTATTTAGTTAGGCATACAGAGCTAGGGTACAGGCCAGAGGTGCGGGGTTGGGGATGGTGGTGAGAGGATTCCCCAGAGACAGAGTGGGGAGCAGAACAGGCAGACTGACAAAGTGCACTGCTGAGGGGAGCAGCAGGGAGACAGGAGAGGTCTGCTGGGCCATGTGGGTCACTCCCTGGCTGGGGATCAAACTCATGCTGCAGTGGCTGTGATAGCGTCACAGTGCTGTGCTTTAATCCATTGCACTACCAGAGAGGGCCATTCTTTGGTAGTTTAATGCCATCGTTTTTATTTATTTACTTATTCATTTTTTATATATCTATTTACATTATTGTTCATTTTACAACGTTTACTTCCCCCTCCCCCACCCATAGGGGGACCATAGTCCCCCACATTCCTCCCTCCATCTGATCCTTCTCTGTCCCCCGCCCCTGTAGGATCGCTCTGGTTTATAGTTGTCTGTTTTTGTTTTGTATTGTAATAGCAATACACTCCCCTCCACCCCCGTCTTATTTGGTTCTCTTAAATTCCTCCTGTAAGTGAACACATTCGATATTTTTCTTTTGCTTTCTAATCATTGTATATCTTTTCATTAGCGAATCCATCAAAATAAAAGTAATTGTGCTCTCTAGATTCTAAAAACAGAATCTAGAGCGTCAGTTGTTGACCCTGTCAGCATGGGCATTTATCTACCGTCAGTGGACTTCAGCAGATTGAGGTCTGTCCTACCCCCCAAGCCATCGGCATTACCTCTGGTAACCAAGGAGAGGACCAGGGTGGGATGACCGTATCTATTCACCTCACGCTTTGTTCTCTGGAAAGACCTCTTGGAAGCCAAGTGGACATTCACAGGTGGCTGTGGTGGGAATGGCAGGAGGTTCATCTGCTCTGTCTGCTTCAGTTCCTGTGACTTCTTGTGGTTGTGGTCTGGGCTGCTGCAGTGACTTAGGACTGGTTTGTTGCCAATTATACAGTTGTTATCACATTTCTTTTTACTGTTTCCTATGTAGTCCAACCTTCTACCCACTGCTAGAATCCACCGTACCAAACAAAAGGGCTCTCTTTGGTAGCTTAAACTTCATCATTTCTAACCACTTTGTCTTTTTATTAGCACATCCATCAAAAATAAAACACTTCTGTTTTTTCCACACTGCACTCATGTGGTAGTGGAGACCATTTCTTTTCTGGCAGATGCACTTTGGCCGGAGGGCATCTCACAGTTCGGTGACCAGTGATGGGTGACTCAGCTTCAGTTTATGGTTCTTAGACATTGCAGCCACCGAGGAGGGTCTTTGAGGATGTTTATTAAACACCACGAGGAACTTTCTGTTTTTGAAAACTGCCTTTGTTACAAAGGCTAATTCTGATCTCTTCTCCTTGTGAGTGAAGTTGCTGGTTATCACCAAGGTTTGCTATGGCTGCTTGGATGAGTTGTTCATTATCTTAATGATGAGTGTTGGGGAGGTACCTGGAGGTCTTTGCTGGAGTGGAACTTAAGCCTTCTTTACATCCAGACTAAATTACCTGCTCCATAAGTCTCAAGATGAGAAATTTGTGTAAGGGTTTTGTAGTAACAGACTCTATAATATATATTGATAATTATATACTTATGTTTGTACA